CTCCCACTTCTCCTCCTCCCTCCTCCTCCTCCTCCTCCTCCTCCTCCTCCTCCTCCTCCTCCTCCTCCTCCTCCTCCTCCTCCTCCTCCTCCTCCTCCTCCTGCCTCCTCCTCCTCCTCCTTCCTCCTCCTCACTCCTCCTCACGCCTCCTCCTCCTCCTCCTCCTCCTCCTCCTCCTCCTCCTCCTCCTCCTCCTCCTCCTCCTCCCCCTCCCTCCGCGAGGGGCAGGGCGAGCCGGCGCAGGAGCTCCTCCTGGACTCCTTGCGCCAGTTCTCGTGGATGAGCGCCACCTCCGACCAGGGTAGATGAAGGGGAACTGGGACACAGAAATAAATACACACAAATAAAAGGATTCCCTATATTTTCCCATATTTTCGGGGTTTCTGTCTTCCCCCCCACTTCCCATATTTTCCCATATTTTCCTGGGAATCGACGATTTATTGTGTCTGTGTGTTTCTTCCCCTCCTGAGTAGACCCACAACGCCTACGTTGAACAGGAAGGAGGGGGGAGGGAGGGAGGAATGTGAGCGAGCACGAGGAGGGAGACGGAGCTGGAGACGACGAAGGCTAAAAGGCTCAAGTAAAAGGCTCAAGTAGGATCTGCCCAGGGGGTCCGCACTTGTGTTCCCCCGTGCCAGCGGGCAGGGGGCCCCGCTTCCTGGGCCGGGACGCTTCCCCCTACTTCCGGGGTCCTGGGCCCTGCTTCTTGGAGCCCAGGGCGTTGTGCGAAGCTGCAGCATGCCATGTCGCGCTATGCTGCAGCAATGTGTGATGCCAGTGGATGTGTTCCACGCCATCCACCGCCGTGCCGCGAGGCAGTGAGTAGATTGTCCTGAGGTCCCTTCGAGTTCTCCGCGCTGAAAGTGTAAATGCTTCTTGAGGACCCCCTGGGTGCCAGGCGCTACCAGGAAGCGCCGCCAGACTTTTTTGCAGAGGCATCGGGAGCGCGGCGGGGCGCCCAGCCTTCTCACCTCGATGCGTTTCTGAGGCCTCAAGATGGCTCCAAGATGGCCCAAGAAGGCCCCAAGAGGGGCCCAAGAGGCCCCAGGGTGGCCCCAAGAGCGCCCAAGACAGCCCCCAGAGGGCCCCAAGAGCGCCACAAGAGACGGTTCTGAGGGCCCCAGAGGGGGGACGGAGATAAAGGAACCCCCTCTTTTGATCGATAGCCTCCAAGATGGCCCCAAGAGGGCTTCCAGGGTTTCCAAGAGAGCCCCAACGGGGCACCAAGAGAGCTCCAAGAGGGCCCCAAGAGCCCCCCCCCCTCCTCCTCCTCCTCCTCCTCCCTCCTCCTCCTCCTCCTCCTCCTCCTCCTCCTCCTCCTCCTCCTCCTCCTCCTCCTCCTCCTCCTCCTCCTCCTCCTCCTCCTCTCCTCCTCCCTCCTCCTCCTCCTCCTCCTCCTCCCCCTCCTCCTCCTCCTCCTCCTCCTCCTCCCTCCTCCTCCTCCTCCTCCTCCTCTCCTCCTCCTCCTCCTCCTCCTCCTCCTCCCTCCTCCTCCTCTCCTCCTCCTCCTCCTCCTCCTCCTCCTCTTCCTCTTCTCCTCCTCCTCCTCTACCTCCTCCTCCTCCCCCTCCTCCTCCTCCTCCTCCTCCTCTCCTCCTCCTCCTTCCTCTCTCCTTAATCCACGTCCTCCTCATCCTCCTTCTCCTCGTCTTGCTCCTCATGCATGCCTCATCCCTCCTCCTGTTCCTCCTCCTCCTCCTCCTCCCTCCTCCTCCCTCCTCCTCCTCTTCCTCCTCCTCAATCCTCCTCCTCCTCCTCTTCCTCCTCTCCTCCTCCTCTCCTCCTCCTCCTCCTCCTCTCCTCCTCCTCCTCCTCCTCTCCTCCTCCTCTCCTCCTCCTCCTCCTCCTCCTCCTCCTCCTCCTCCTCCTCCCTCCTCCTCCCTCCTCCTCCTCCTCCTCCTCCTCCTCTCCTCCCTCCTCATCATCATCATCATCATCATCAGCATCATCAGCAGCAGCATCATCATCGTCATCATCAGCAGCAGCATCATCAGCACCATCAGCATCAGCATCACCACCACCACCACCACCATCATCATCATCATCATCATCATCATCATCACCATCATCAGCATCAGCATCATCATCATCATCATCATCATCATCATCATCAGCATCATCATCATCACCATCATCATCCTCACCATCATCACCATCATCACCATCATCATCATCATCATATTTACCATCACCATCATCATCATGTTCATGCGATTGTTCCTCCTCGTCCTCCTCCTTCTCCTACTCCTCCTCTTCGCCCCCCCCCCTCCCCCGCACACGCGGGCTCGGTCGGAGATGGCCCCAACACACCGTCCAGGCTGGCTTCTCTCGCTGTTTGACTATGCGTGTATCTTCCCGGCTCCCCCCGTCAACTCTTGTGGGCATCGTTCCTGATGGGCTAAAGGGGATATGTTCTGTCGCGGCCGCAGGCGACAGCGCCGGCAGCAGAAACAGAGCTGGCTCGGGCCACGAGCAACCTAATTGCCGGCGCGCGCGCCGAGCTAGGCAAGTCCTACCGCCGGGGAAAGCAGCTGCGCCAGGGCTGAGCTGCGCCGAGGATGGGGACTGCAAGCTGCAGAGGCTGCCAGGATGCTGCAACGTGCGAATACCATGGGAGCTGAATCACCGGGAACGTGAATTGGACCTTGTCACCAGAGGGCGCCAGAGGTCAGACCAGCAGACCGACAGGTGACACGCCAGGCCGTTCAAGAAGGCTGAGCCACTCCTTAGTGAATCGGCAGACCAGTATCCCAAAGGGCCAGCTGACAAACCAAAAACCAGGGAAATGCAAGCACTCGTGCCTGAAGTGGTCAGAACGCACGTCGCCTGATCGCCAGGGTGCCTCACCCAGCTCCACGGACCAGAATGAGAGCCAAAGGCGCGAGGGACGGACGCATCCACCGAGGGCTGGGGGGACCTGAGCCCGGAGCCTGCGGCGACAGGGAGCCAAACACAGCCAGGCAAGGCGGTGACTGGGGACCAGAGGCCAGGAAAGTGCAAACACTCGCGCCAGAACCGGTCAAGACGCGTGAGTCGAGGATGTCACGAAGGGGCCAGAGCCAGGGAAACCGAGCCAGGCCGTGGCCAGGTCCTAGCAAAGGACAAGGTGAAAACAGCAACAGCAACGGCCAGGGCCGCAAAGCACGTCGCGCCCCGCCCCAGCGGGGACAGCGTAAAAGGTATCGACGGCGGCTGGGGGCCAGTCCCCAAGGGCGGGAGGCCGAGCCAGGTGCTGTGCTGGGGCCGACTCTGGACGACACTGGGCCAGCAGCGGGGGGCTGCACCGCGCAGCTGCCAGGCGCGGCGAAGGCCGGGGGGGGCCAGCGCCAGGGAGACCGAGCCAGGCCGTGGCCAGAACCTAGCAGAAGCCTATGTGAAAACGACTACAGCAACGGCCAGGGCCGCGCGGCACGCCGCCCCCGCCCCAGCGGGGCCAGCGCACCCGGCATCGACGGCGCCTGGGGGGCGGGTCTTCAAGGGCGAGGAGGCCGCGCGAGGTGCTGCGAAGGGGCCGACACTGGATGACGCTGGGCCAGCAGTGGGGGGCTGTAGACCACTGCAGCCAGGCGCGGTGAAGGCCAGGGTGAGCACTGCTATAGCACACGGGCATGCCGCGCATGGCACACGGCGCCTCGCCCCAGCAAGGGCATCGCGCCGAGCAAGATAGCGCCGGGGGCCTGACCCACAAGGGCGAGGGGCTGACCTAGCGCTGCGGGCGACTGCAGCCGAAGGCAGCACGTCCCCACCAAGTGACTCTGACTCGCCAAGCATGCGAGGGAAGCCTCCAAGCCGCGGGCGTGCCTTCGCGTTGGGACCACTGCCAGGGACGACTAACGGTCGCACTGTCTGCGAAGAGGGGGGGGGAGGCAGGGGAGGGGGGCCACTGCCAGGGGTGGCCCACGGTCACGCAGTCAGTGGGAAAGAGGGGAACCTTCAAGCCGCGGGCGCATCTTGCGCAAGGAGCATTGCCAGGGACGACTAACGGTCGCACTGTCTGTGAAAGGGGGGGGGGGGGGGGGGGAACGCTGAACGCGCGGCCAGGGACGGGAGCAAAGCTGAAGCGACTAACGGCCACCCCAACTGGAACGTCGGCTTCGAGCGAGCGGCCCCAGATGTAGGGAGATTACCGCCACCTGGACATCTTGTCGTCATGGTCGGCGTTGTCACTGTTCTTCCTGCCACGCTTGCCTCCATCGCGCCAGTCTCTTGCCAGGATGGCCATCCACTCTGCCAGGACCACTCTTCCTGTTGTTCCCATGGTTGCTGGTGGGAGCTGGGGCCCCCGCCCTTTGAGTGGTGGGAGCCCTTGCCAGTGATGTTCCTGCTGTGCATCTCGCGGATGGCATCCTAGTCGACGTTGAGCTCCAGCCCCCGATCCATTTCGTAGGCGTCGTAGCCCACCCTGCGCCAGGCGCCCAGGAAGTCCTTGCAGGCCTGCACGTTGTTCAAGTGGGGGTCACTTTTGGGCTTCCCTTTGGCGCGCGGGGACTTTTGTGCGTAGCCGTGCCAGATCCCGTTGAAGACGCCTCCCAGCACTTTCTGGAGGCGCGCAATAATTCCTGCGGGATGCTCCCCGGTCCGTTCCAGGACGACCTTGCCCAGGTGCTCACGACACACGGGCCCCCCCGAGCTGGGGTCGCGGAGATTGTCGAAGGCGCGAGCGCTGCCGCCGCGAGGGGGGGTCACGGGGCGCCTGCGGTCGCCGCAGCCAGCGGGCGCTGCGCGCCTGTCAGCGGCGCGAGGGCTGCGCGCGGACCTCTCGCTGGGGGCGCGGAGCCTCCACGGCGGCAGCGTCTCTCCTCTGGGGCTGGCGGGCGCGGGGGCGCCCGCCGCTAGGGGCGTCTTGGGCGTTTGCTCCCCGAAAGCTCCGAGGGGGTCGTCTGGCGAACTATCCTCAGGAGCCACCTCCCCGATTCCCCGCGGGGGTCGACGTGCGCCGGCGGCGGCGGGTTGTCTCGCTGCCAGGTGCCCCCGTCCGCGTCTACCTGCTCGCTCGGCGACGGCGCTGCGGATGCCGGTGTCTCCTCGTCGAATCTACGGACTGGTCTCTTTCAGTGGGAGAGCCGATGTCATCATTTGGCGGGACAGAGAGGCCAGGCAGCTCTTCGCCTCGGAAAGCCTCACCGCTGGGCACGTGGCCCTCGCGCCTCCTCAGAGGTGGTTCCGGACCTGCAACCGAGCCTTCCTCTGAGCCGGAGGGCCTGGAGGGGGCGCACTGGCCAGCGTGGTGCCCCGTGTGGCGCTGTCGCGGGGACTCGCTGGTCTCTGGCTCGGGGGACAGCCAGGCCCC